ACCATAAATGAGCTATCTTACTTGGTGTTATTTACCTGTGTTCACAGTTTACCACATTTATTCCCTTTGGAATTACTGTCCTGAAATGAATTGCACATATATTGGGCATATACTATATAAGTAACTGCTTTACTAAAACTTCATTCAGTCTGTATAATTGCCTGTAACCACAGCTACTCGGGAGGCTGAGGCAAGAGGATTACAAGTTCAAGGCCAGCCTGGAAAACCTAATGAGATCCTATCTCAAAACATAAAATAAAGGGCTGGGGATATAGCTCAGTGATAGAGTGCCTTTGGGTTTGACCCCCCAAACTGCAAAAGAAGGGGGAAGAGGAGAAAAGAAGTTCTCCTGGGCATTCCATAAATCCCAGCATCAGCAACAAACAAGCAAACCATGCTAAATGGGGTGTGAACAAGGGGTAAAGCTTTGGAGAGTGTTAGGGCTTCCTCCTCTCGCATCCAACCCCACAAAATCAATAAAAATGTGCACTTTGCCAAAGGTTTAGTATGAGTTCTCAGAAACAACTGAATTCTCCTGAGTACCTAACTTGGACATAATTTATCCTGAATTGTGTATGTAAAGCAAATATTGCAGTTAACAATAAACACAAGTAGAAATTTTCTTCTTTTAGACACAAGAACTATCTGAGTGTTTAACACATGGAATTTTACATCTCAAATTACTAGCATCAGATGACCTTGTGATTCCCTTTTCCTTTTTACAACTTTGTATAGAAAAGTATGGAATGTGGAATGTTTGCCCATAAAAGACTACATAGAAAAATACATCTAGCTCAATTTGTGCTTGAAGTTTTTAAAACACATCAAAAAGCATCCTCCATTTTAAAGACAATATTACTGTATCACACAACATGAGTGAACATGTGGAAAAATATAATTATGTAATAGTTTTATCATTATTGTTCCTAGGACCTTGTGTTGGAACTTGTTTTTGGTTACCGAGGCAGAGACTGCAGGAATAATGTACACTATTTAAATGATGGTGATGATATCATTTATCACACTGCATCCGTTGGAATTCTGCACAATGTTGCTACAGGTAGGAAACACTAATTCTCCACACTCCCACACATAGTTTTTAAGTTACAATTTTTTTAAAATAGCAGCTTAAAGTTCTGAGTTAAAACTATAGTATTTAACGATAATGTAAAATAGGAAGAAAAGGTCCAAAGGGGTAGGGGTAGTGGGAGGGGCAGGGGAAAGGAAAGAAGGGAAAGGAAAAATGATGAGAAATG